CAAAGCCCCTGCTTCTCCCCAGTCTTTCTCATCTCTGTAAACGGCCCCAGCATTCACCCGGATGTTCAAGGCAAAGACTTAGGGGCTATCCTTGACTTCTTTCTCTCCCTCATCTTCTGCTTCCCAAGTCTGGTCATCCCCACTACCCCTACTCAGGTCCAGGCAGTCATCGCCCTCCCACGGTGCTCTGTACCAGCCTCCTCACACCTCTCGCTCCTCCCCTCTGCCCCCTTACAGTCCATTCTCCACGAAGGAGCCAGGGGTACTTTTTAAGAACACAGATCTGTCACTCCCTGCCTCACATCCATTCCTCAAGGACTCTCTTTGCTTTCAGGGTCTTTAACAAGACCGAGCCCCAACAGCCAGGTCCTGAAAGAACAGAAGAAAGAGGAAAACCCAGGAAAACCGAGAGGGAAGAGGAAGCCCGAAGGGGGCGGAGCCAGACTCGTAGCACCACCTTCCTGTCTGGCTTGCGCCCTTCCGGGCTTCGGAACCTTTCCTCGGGCGCTGGGGGGAGCTTTTCCAGTAGTACCTTCCGGCGTCGTCGGCCCCATTTCCTGTGGTGCATCGCGGCGTCTCTTTCTCTTCCGGTCCCAGGCTCGTCGGCAGTCGCGGGTTACGGTAAGTGTTGGTCGCGAGGCATCTGATACCATCCGCGACTTATGGGCGGCGGCGGGGCGTGGGCTGCAGGGAGGACAAGGAGACTGGCTGTGTGGATGTGGGGAGCGGAGGCTGCGGCGTGGGGCTGGTTCTTTTGGGTCTCCAAGGGGTGCATGGATGGCAGGGTAAGAAGTCGGACTTTTCGGGGGAAAGCAGACTTGTGGGACTGGGGAGTTGGTTTCACGGCCTCATTCCCTCGGTTTGGGAGGCGGGGACAGGCATCGGGCCGTGCAGAGTAAATTGAGGCTGGTGGAGGCCGCAGATGCAAGTGTCTGTCTGCAACCTAATTCTAGCTTCTGAACTCACGTTCCACCAGGTCAGGGCAGCAGTGGTGGCCCAGCCCGGTGAGCCCGCAGCCCTGATCTCCACTTTTGTCTTCCAGGTGTAGACATGGCCAAGTCCAAGAACCACACCACACACAACCAGTGTAAGTTTCTTGGGCCCGGTCCACATCCCATACCCTGGCAAGGATTGGTTTAGGGATATGGGGGCAGGGCGAGAGGGGGCACATAGCCACTGTGGGCCTGGGGCTGATTTTGTTTTCAACCAGTCATATGTTTGGGGCGATAGGTTTAGGAGCCAGAGATCCACTTGAGATACCCGCAAAGCTTTGCATTCAGTGGTAGTTTTCCAGATGTCAATAATATCTGCTCTGGGAAGTGTTGAGTCTCCCAAGCTTGCCAGTCTGATGTTGGGTGCTTATTAGAGAAAATCTTTTTATTGGCCTAATTCCTTTTTTCTCCCCACAGCCCGAAAGTGGCACAGAAATGGCATCAAGAAACCCCGATCACAAAGATATGAATCTCTTAAGGGGGTGAGTGTGTGTACACCAACTCGCACATAAATGTCTTGTTTTGGCTCCAGGTGCACAGTCACAGCCTGCCATGCAACTTTTCTACAGCTTCATCCCCTGCCTGTGCAGAGCTTGTCCCTTGTCTTATCTGGCCCACCAAAGCCTATAATTCCTTTCTCTAGCCTGCTAGACTCATAACAAAGCTTTCCTTGGCCTTCCCTGGCCCAAAGTGTAACCCTTTGGTCAGAATGTAACCTGCCTCCTCAGGGCATTTTGTTTGGCTCCCTCACTCGGCCACAGAACTTAAGGTAAGGAGTGGCCTTGTCTATGTGTACTGGGCACGTTGTGATCTTTCCATTTCACATTGACTATCCTTAAAACCTTGGATCTGATTCAGTGCTGGGCTTGGGGTCAGCTTCCCTTCCTGTGTCAGGGAGTTCTAAGGATTAGCTGAGAAGGCTGTAGGTCTAGGGGAGGGTTGAGCCTGTCCCAAGTCTTTTCCTCCCCTGTACCCTTGCTATCTGATCTGTGGAGTAAGTCACAAAATCTGAGCCTCAGTTTCCCCCCTTCCGTCTCTTATTCTGCCTCATCTATGAGTCTTTTGGGCCAGACTTGGTGTTTAATTGACACCTTCCTCTAAAGGGGGAGGGGATAACCCTGAGGGGATTTCAGAGAAAAAACTTGGTTGAACCCCTTCTATAGGTTGCCATGCAACCTTGGCAGAGAGGGCAGCAGCCTTCCTTTTTTCTTCTGCACTTGGATTTGACTGTTTGCTCTACTAGCCTCTGGGCATGTAACCTTGCTAGTGTGGTCTGCACAGCATTAGCCAGGTGGAGTATTGGCTCCCTGGGGCAGTATACATGTTTCTAAGGGTTGACTGTTTCCACATTTAAGGTTGACTTGATGCTGTCTTTAGAATGCTGGGCACCCCTATGGAGAGGGGCACCAGAGAGTGACTTGGGGGCCTTACATGCTACTCCCTATACCTTTCCTGCTTTCCAGGTGGACCCCAAGTTCCTGAGGAACATGCGCTTTGCCAAGAAGCACAACAAGAAGGGCCTGAAGAAGATGCAGGCCAACAACGCCAAGGCCATGAGTGCACGTGCTGAAGCTATCAAGGCCCTCGTAAAGCCCAAGGAGGTTAAGGCTAAGATCCCAAAGGGCATGAGCCGCAAGCTCAGTCGACTTGCCTACATTGCCCACCCCAAGCTTGGGAAGCGTGCTCGTGCCCGCATTGCCAAGGGTCTCAGGCTCTGCCGGCCAAAGGCCAAGGATCAAACTAAGGCCCAGTCCAAGGCCCAGTCCAAGGCCCAGTCCGCGGCTTCATCTGCAGCACCAGCGTCAGTTCCAGCTCCAGCTCAGGCTCCCAAAGGTGCCCAGGCCCCCGCGAAGGCTCCAGAGTAGAGGCCTCTGTCTGCCAGCATGAGGACAGAAGGACTGGTGTGACCCCTGGGGTGCTATCTGCATGGGCTGGGGTCCTCCTGTACTATTTGTACGAATAAACCTGAGGCAGGATTTGTTAGCCTGTGTCTATGACCTGGGCTGGGTGGGAGATGGGGTTGCCACCTCTGTTGGTGTGGGAGAGCGCAATAGCCTTGTGTGCATGGTGGGGTGTGGGCGGGAGTCAGGAAATGCGGCCCTGGGGTGCAAGAAGGGGACCTAGTAAATAAATGGTCAGAGGCTTTAGGGGAGCTGGGGCACATAGCTTGCTGCACTGGGTGAGCTGCTGAGGAAAGGGGAAAATCCTAAACCTCCTTGTTAGGTCTTGAAGCATACCCTGAGGGAAGGGGACAGGGCATTGCTGAGCAATTCTGCACTCTGGCCTGTCGAGTCCCAGACTTGGGCTGTTCCTGGTGCACCTGGCCAGCATCTACTGCTCTGGGTTGTGCTGGTCCCCCAAGTGCTAGAGACCCAGGAAGGCGGGGCAGCATTGGCACTGCCTTACTACCGTGACTGGGCCTGACCATGCTGTGCTGCTGGGTTAGCTGCTTCCCATACAGGATCTTAATAGAGCAGCCAGTGGACCAAATAGTTTAGTACTAGGTATTTGTGGGGGCTTCCTGTAGAAGGTACCAGGTGGAGCACTGTTCCTGGTTACACTTAATCCTCAAAATCAGCCTTGGGCACTTTGGAAACTCAAAAAGGGGTGCTTTTATGCCAGAGCAGAAGATGTAGCCCATGGTATATGATCCCCTTGCCTCTGAAATAGATATTACTGTTATCTTTGTTTCACAGGTGAGGAAACTTAATTGTATAGCTAAGGAAGGGATGGAGGTAGCATTTGAGCCCAGGCAGTCCACATGGGACTCTGGGAAGTTTGTTTGCCCAACTAGGGTTAGGCTGCTAGCTCTTGACTAATTCTGCCACTCTGTGGGTGGCCAACTGCCCCTGCCAGAGGGTGTCAGATGGAGGTGGAGTCTGGAAAGGGAGCAGGACAGTGTTTTGTGTGCTGAAGACAGTTTGGCCCCATTGGAGGTCACCAGGTTGGATGACTTCCAAAGTGAGGCCTGTGTGCTGGTGTCCTGGACAGGGTGTGAAAGCTGCTTTCCCCAGTCATCCTGCCAGGAGAAAAGAGGTCTGAGAGGGAGGCCAGACCCCAGGTCAGGGGCTTCAACTAGGCTTTCTTAAGGTCAGAGCCAGCTGCTGCCATCAGCCTCCAGCTTCCATCGGAACCTGCCTTATGTGAAGGAAGCACAAGGTCTGGTGCTTGAGTTTCAGTTGCTCACCAAGCTCTGTAGTCATTAGTACTAAGCCTGCAGACCACAGAGCTAAGCTGTGGACTTCCCTTCTGGCTACAACTAGAAACTTCAAAAAAGCCAGCCCTCCCTGTCTCCCTTATACCCCTCTTGGAGGACAGGACAGATGAGATCAGCTAGAGGAGAAGGCTCCTGGGGTCATAGCTGACTCTGTACTACCTGAGGGCTCAGCAAGGTTGAGACTGAAGCCCAAATCCTGGGCCTCTACACACTGGTCCATGGTCCCAGGCTAGGGTGTTGGAGACCCTAAGATGAATTGACTGGTCTACCCGCGGGCACCCTGCCCCTCTGTAACCCCTGCTCCCAACACCAGAGCCCATGGGTTTTGACAAATGCCAGCAGTCATGCCTTGGAAGTTGTCCCTCTCCCTGCCCCACATCTGGCAGGGGCCCAGGTGGCCCCCTTCTGGTCCTGTCTCAGGATCCCAAATATATTCCCAGAAAGACAGGAGTGGACCCCTGAGGTCCATGTCTTGGTATCTCCCTTCAGTGGGAATTGAATCCCTGACCTCCAAGGTCACCTCCAAGTATGGTGGCCACTAAAAACAGGAGCTATGTCCTTTTATTGCTGGGCACAGACATGGCTGGGTGGTACTGGATGGGCGTGCTATGTCTACGGGCAAAGAGCAATGTGGAATGGTTTTGGGAAGACTCCAGAGCCAGGCTGTTTCCTCCGTCTGTGAAATGGGAATGGTAACAGTGTGTCCCCAGAGAAATGAGAATTTCTGTTCCGTGAGCATCCTTGTGAGGAGTACTTCAGAGACAGACCCTGCCCACACACAGATTTTATTATTGGGCACGGGGAAGAGAAGGTCTTTGGCTCTAGTTGGGATGGAAACCCCAGGGGGAGAGGTTGGGGATCCTGGCGGTTCAGCTGTCACTGGGCAGGGCAGGTACGCTGGCCAGGGCAGACAGCAGCTGTGTATATATGTCGATGCCACGGAGGAACACCGCCTCATGCAGCCGCTCATCATGGTCGTGCAGCAGCACAGGTGTGTGGTTCATGGGTGAGAAGCCCAGTGCTGGGACCCCCACCTGCAGGGGCGAGGAGGGGCTGTTAGGGAAAAGCCACCATTCAGGCCCTGTCCACTGCCCACACACTGCCATGCAAGGGGCTCACCGCGCGGAGATAGCGGCTGTCTGTGGTAGCAGGGAAGATCTCCGCCTCTAGAGTGAGGTTCCTGCACAGGGGAAAAGCCTGATGAACGGGGAGGAAGGTAGGAGGGGGCACAAGGGAAGAACTGAAGGTGGAAGAGAGGTGGAGAGGGAGAGAGGGAGGGGGAAGGGCAATAGCAAGGAGAGGAGGAGGGAGCTGGGCTGTGTAAGGACAGCTGGCCAGTGTGCTCACATGTCCTTGAAGACCCGGCTAAAAGCTGACCACCAGGGGTCTGAGTCATCAATAGATGTCACTTGGGGCTTCATCCACTTCTGTGTTGGGGCAAGGGGGAAGATGGCAGCATCAGGACAGGGGCCTGGGCATCTTGCCCTGTTCCCCATAGGGTGGACTGTGCCTGGCACAGAACGCCTGCCTACCCCTACCCAGCGACAGGCTCTCTTTCAGCCCCTCTAGGTCTGGGACCTTGCCATGCCCTCCATCTACTTAACTCCTGTCCATCCTTTAGATCTTAGCCCAAGTTCTCCCCCAGACCTCTCAGACTAGTTTTTTTGGAGACAGGGTCTCGCTTTGTTGCCCAGGCCTGGCCTGAGGGCAGTGGTGTCATCATAGCTCGCTGTAACCTCAGACTCCTGGGCTCAAGTGATCCTCCTGCCTCAGCCTCCCGAGTAGCTGGGACTACAGGCTCGCACCACGCCGCGCTAATTTTTGTATTTTTTGTCAGAGATGGGGTCTCACTCACGCTGGTCTCGAATTCCTGGCCTCAAGCAATACTCCAGCCTCAGCCTCCCAAAGTGCTAGAATTACAGGTGTGAGCCACCATGCATGGCCTTCTCAGACTAGTTGAATACCTCAATTATAGGTTCTCAGAGTGTGAGATCCCACCTTTCCTGGACCGTATGTGTTCATATTTACATAAAAGTAATACTATATAAATATTTGATTTATGTCTATTTTCCCTTTTCACACCATGAGGGCAAGAACTGTGCCTAATTTTACTCCCACAGTATTCCCCAGCGCCCACAGTGGTCTCCACAACTAATGCTTGTTGGGTGAATAAAGTGTCTGTCACAGATAAAAAAAATGCCCAGATGTATGTGGACACACCAAGCACACACTCCCACAGTGTCACACACTGTGTGAGCCCAGTCTCCCCTAGCCCCTACACTCCCCCATCACAGGTCCCAACTCGATACCTGAACAAACTCCAAGGTGACCCCCTCGCCAGCTGTCTGGCACCAGGCATGCAGCTGCTTCTCGAAAGCCTAAAAGAAGGGAGATGAACTGATTCCTCAGGCTTTCCCGCAGCCTTTGGGACATGATTGAGGACCCCGCCTCTCTCCTCCAAACCCATGTGGAGGTGGCACCTTTAGATCCACATCCGGTGCCACGCGGAAGTCAAAGCCAGCGCTCATAGAAGCAGGTACCACGTTATAGGCCACGCCACCCTCTAGCTTAGTCAGGTTCACGGAGGTCACGTCCCCCTCCTTCAGGTGGGGGTTTGACTGCAGCCTGCAGTAGGGGAGGGGGCAGGGGATGGGCAGCAACAGATACGAGAAGGTGGCTCAGCTTCCCTCCTCTCTTGTGCATCCCCCGAGAGGCACCCCCAACCCCTTCCCAGGCTGCCTCACCTCTGCCTTTCCTTCTCTCGGAATGCCAGGATCGAGCTCACAACCTTGTGCTAGGAGAGTATGAGGTTAGATGTGACAGCAGCCCCATGATAGAGCCTCCTGAGCTCCCAGTCTCCCTCCCCATGTGCCACGCACCAGCTTCTCTGCCGCCGTGTCCTCAATGAAGCGCGAGCCGTGGCCTGGCCTCCCAGTGCTGGTAACCCGCACCCCTGGGGAGACAGAGGGGGAAGGGAGGGTCTTTGACATGAGAGGGGCTGGAGATGCAATCAGCCCTGGGGTGGGCTGGGGTTCCCCTTGTGCCAAGCTCCTCTGACACGGCCTTGTCCCCCTCAGAGCCTGCAGCGTAGAGCTGGTTTCTGCCCAGGGTCAGGGTTTACCCTCGGAGAAGCCCAGGACAGATGCCCAGGTAGGAAGGGGCTGGGAGGCAGAAGCCCTGGGTTCAAGGACTACTCAGGCCCCAACTTGCTGTGTGACCCTTCATAGGACGCTCCCCTTTCTGGTCTAGTCTCCCACCTACCTATACAGTGACCCCTCCTCCAAGCCCATACTCACACCAGACGCTGCGCTCGCTATAAAAGACAGTGTAGGCATCAGTGGGGTTGGCGAGGCCTGAGGGAGGAAAGGGGGTTCAGAGGATGGAGTCACCTGGCCCCAATAGCAGCCTCCCTACCCCTGCCTGGGTGCTCAGTGCTGGCCAACCTGCTTACCCTCATCCAGGGCGAAGCCAGCCCTCAGGGCCCGGAACTCAGGCCGCTGCACGAACAGCTCCATGCCGTGGTGACCCCCAATCTCCTCATCTGTAAAAGCGATAGGAACATGAGATTAGGGAGCTGTCTCCCCAACACACCCTCCCGCTTCCCAAAGGTGTCCCTCCCTGAACCATTCCTACCAGGCACAAAGGTCATGTGGATGGTTCTAGGGAAAGAGTGGCCTTCAACCTTCAGCCTCCTGACTGCCTCCAGGTACCTGAGTGGGCAATAAGCCAGGTGTCGGGGGAGCCTCCAGAGGCTCAGGCTGGCCCAGTAGGCAGGAACAGGCAGGGATGACAGGCTGAAGTCCTGTGCCCTGGACTCTACCCTACCGCAGCCTGGCAGGAACTCCAGAAAGCCCCCGGCCCTCTGTGGGCCTCAGTCTCCCCATCCATGTAATGGTTCATGGCAGCAATTTGTGCCCAAAGTAAGGGGACAAGATGTCCCTTGGCCTTGAGGTTCTCCAATCACACTTCCAGGTCCTTGGTTAATCCACTGGGCTGGTGGGAACGTAGTGGGGGACTGTGAAGAGAGGACACTCACTGGATGCTGACACACTTCATGTCCTGGGTGCCCCTGCCATAAATGTAGCCCTCAGAATCCTTGAAGGCCTCAAAGGGGTCATGACTCCAATGTTCCTGGTGGCAGGGACAAGAAGAGGGGCCCAAGCCCCAAATTTAGTCAGGCCACTGCCCTCTGGTTAATGGTGGGCTCCCCTAGGAGCCCACCATAGGGTTGGGGCGACAGGTGGAGTGGTGAGGACAGAAGGCTGAAAAAGGCAGCTGACTGCCATCCTCCTCAGCCCGCCACATGCAGTCACTGCTGGGCAAAGGCTGCTTGCCGTGTGGATGTTGACAGTTAGTGCCAGGACCAGCACCATGGGCTGCTGAGATTGGATTCTGGGGTCTGCATCATGCCTGTCCCCAAGGCCTACACTGCCCCCACTACACACCTTGAAGACAGGCACCACATCCGTGTGAGAGTTGAGCAAGATGGAGGAGAGTGCAGGGTTGGTGCCTGGCCAGGTCAGCACGGTCACCACATAGCCAGGTGCCACCTGGACAGCATCAGGAGGGGACACGGTCAACACAGGGTGAGGAGGTGCCCCAGACCCATCTCCCTTCCCTACTCAGGGCCGCAGGCTCACCTCCACTTTCTGACAGCTCAGGCCCAACTGGTGGGCTCTCTCCTCAAGGAAGGCCACGGCAGCCCCTGGGGGCACAGAGAGTCTTGGGCTGCTTCTGCCTACCATGGCTCCCAGTAGCCAGGCAGCCCAGAGAGAGGGGCAGACTCAGAGATGGGTTGCTGCCTTCCCAACATAATTCCAAACCCCTCAGAGACACCTGCATTTCTGTCCCCAAGAAAGAAGATATTTTTGGCCAGTGTGACCCTTTGTGGAAGGCCAGGAGGAAGTCCAGGGTTGGAGGCAGGTGTCATTATCTTCCTTAAATATGGGGAAACTATGGCACAAAGATATGCAGAGATTCACCCAACATCTCTCTGCTGGTAAATCACAGAGCAGGGATTTGGACCCATGTACACAATTTCTAGCCACCAAGCTTGATTCCCTAAGGGCTGCGGACTTTGTCCAGCCCTAGTAGGCTCTGGAGGGCCCTTGTGGCTGCCCTAGTCTCCCCAAACCTCTCCTGCCCTGCAGAGTGAAGTTATTCTTTAACTAGCTGCCAGGAGTAACCTCTGAAGCAGCACAGCCCCTGGGGAAAGGTTTCCTCCGCAGCCTGGAGGGGCTGCCTCAGTCTGCTGATCTGGGGAATGGCCAGAGGGGTTGAGGAGCCATTTGGGGCACCAGAGTGAGGTTCAGCTGGGTGACAGCGGTTGGAGCTAGTTTAGAGCACAGTCCCCGCCCCTTAGGCCCCATCAGAGGCCCTGGAAGCACCGCTTTCTCACCATAGTCCGGCTTGGGCTGGACGGTGCGGATGCGCAGGTACTGACGAAAGAGCGTCACAGATGGGTGCTCGTCCTCGGGACCCTTGCTGGTCATGGCGCTGCGCGTGGTGAGCTGGGGGCAAAGTGAATGGCTAACTACCCCTCTGCACACAACCCCTCCCCAAGCAGTTCCCCGGACGTCCCAGAGGAGAGGACGCCCTGTTTCGGGGCCCCCATTAACGGAGCCCCCATTCCGTTTCAGGCGCTGTGCTGGCCGCTTTCAGCACATTTCCTTATTTAATCCCCAAAAGAGCCCCATGAAGTCTATGCCTCTGCCAGGGAGTAGCTGAGCCAGGTTTGACCCCTGGCATTGACTCCCCACGCCCTCCTTCAAGCATGCCTCCCAGTTGCCCAGCTTTCAAGCCGGGGAGCCTCCGATCCCTCTACTCCCCAGGGTTCCCGACCTCGCTTTCTCCTGATCTCGAGCCCGCACTCGCCCCCCAGCGTCCGCCCCTACAGTGGCTGGGACTCCAGTTATCTCAGTGAGGCCTCAGGCTCAGAACCGCCCTGATCCGCCCACCACGTGGCCGGAGCCTGATCGAGGGGCGGAGAGCGAAGACTGCGAGTAAGGAAGGGGCCGTCCCAACCCCTGCGGCCGCTTCGGCGCAGGCGTCCCAGTCGGCCTCAGGCCGGGCCTCGGCTGGGAGGCTCGGATGCCGGATCCCGCCCCTGGGCAGCTCCGCCACGGCCATCCCCCCGGCGAGGGGCGAGCTCCGGGCTGGCCCCGCCCCTCCCCGCCCGCAGGACACGCCCCCACGCCCGGCCCCCAGGAGGGCCCCGCCCTCAGGGGACTGCCTTTCGCTCAGCCTCGCGATAGAGCCCGAGGACAGGAGGTTCTCAGGGTGCAGGGCTGCAAAGTCCTCCTGCTCCCTGGCCCCCTCCCGCGAGTCTGCTACCGCTCCGCTTTCAATGATTCAGCCTCTCAAGGAGGTCCTCCCTGACTGCCTCGCCGCGTGTGTGGTGAGGTTATTGGTTAACGTCTGTCCGCCCCACACCAGGAGCTCTGCTCTGGAGGGGGGCACAGAGTGGGTGCTGGGACAATGAGCCAGAGATGAAAGCTAAATGTATGGATGACAGCACGAGTGATGGTGAACATGCCACTGTGTGGGCAAATCTAACACTGTGTATCGGTAGATATGACTGTGTGTGCCAGTGTGAGTGTGAGATGGTGGGGAGGTGTGACAGGATGTCATGGTGAGAGGATGTAATTGTGATGCTTAATGATAGTGTGAGAGGTGCCAAACTCTCTGCCTCTTCTGCAACCCCCAGGGAGGGAGGCTAAATAGAGGCACAGGTGGCCCATTGGTACCTGCAGGCTGCACACAGGTGTAGACAGATGCCCACGTGTGCACCTCGCTGCCATTTGTACCCCCGGGAAGATCTGTCCTCTGCTCCAGGGGCTGAGTTAGCTTGACAAGGGGTGAGGGGTGAAGACTTCAACCTCTGGGCCAAAGATGCAGGCTGGGAGGGGAGGGGAGGAGAGGAGTCCATTCCACCCCTCCTGGGGTTTCAATCTTGGCTGCTCACCCATAGATAGCAAGGGTCAGTCAGACTTGGTGGTTCACTGGCAATGCTGTGGTTTTTGGTTTTTTGTTTTTTTTTTATGACAGAGTCTCACTCTGTCACCCTGGGTAGAGTGCAGTGGTGTCATCTTAGCTCACTAAAACCTCAAACACTTGGGCTCAAGTGATCCTCTTGCCTCAGCCTCTGGAGTAGCTGAGACTATAGGCATGTATCATGACACCCAGCTAATTTTTCTATTTTTAGTAGAGACAAGGTCTCGCTTTTGCTCAGGCTGGTTTCAAACTCAAGCAATCCTCCTGCCTAGGCTTCCCAGAGTGCTAGGATTAAAGGCGTGAGCCACGGCACCTGGACCGCAATGTTGTGTTCTTTTTTTTTTTTTTTTTAAATTTCGGCATATAATGGGGGTACATTAGGTTACGTATACTGCCCTTGCCTCACCCAAGTCAGAGCTTCAAGCATGTCCATTCCCCAGCTGTGTTAATTCTTTAAACCTCATTCCCCACAGCCACCTCTACATATCCTGCTTCCTTTGGCCCCAGGTTCCTGACTCCCCCGACTCAGCTGCCCAGACCCTGCATTTCCCACCAGTCCCCAGTCCCAGTGGTCACGCAGCAGCAGTAATACATCCCTTTCCCAGCCTTGTGTGGCCAGGTGCTTCACTTATCCAAACTCATGCAATCCTACAACCACCCTCTGAGCCAGATATTGCCATCATGCCCCTTTTACAGATGATGAAACCGAGGCAGAGTGTTGAGAGCAGACAGCTAGGAAGTGGTGCAGTCCTAGCCCTCTCAGGCTGCTGGAGCACGCTCTGCAGCTCCCAGCCCCCAAGCAGTCCCAGACTTGCCTCCCACTCCTGCCTCTCCCAGAGCATGCTAGGAAATGGCACCTGTCACACCCCAGGCAAGACAAATGCTTTTTTATTGTGTCTGTGAAGTGAAATGAGAGGTCCTGGCTGAGTCTGACTCTCTGACCTCTGACCTTCAATCCCAGGGGCTGCCTCCCTGGTGGTGGGAGAGTTGTGGTCCAGGCCCTTCAAGCTCAGGCCAGGCCTGGGGCCTGGGTAGCGGGCTAGTTCAAGGCAGATGGTCAAGGAAGGAAAGGAGGACGAGGTGGAAGTCTTGCGGCTTGTGGAGGTAGCAGGCATGGCCTGCGTTGCGTAGCTTCACCACGGAGTGGTTGGGCAGGTGGCGGAGCTGCCGCAGAGATTCTTGAGCCAGGATGCGGTCCAGCTCTCCATACAGGATGAGAGTTGGGGTCTGCAAGGCAAGACAAGGGGCTGTGACCCTGGGGGGCTGATGAGGATCTGACCACCCCAAACCACCTCCTTAGGAAGTCTTCCCCAAACACCCCACCTCTTCCATCTAAGATCAGGGATAAAGCCATGTCCCTCCAGGTAAGACTTGAGTCCTGAACCTCCATGACCCAAGCCCGGGACAGGGTGCCAGGACCCTTGAAGATCCTTCTCCCAGTACCTTCACAGCCCAGAATTGCTCCTGGGTGTAGTTCTGGGTGGAGGTGGGTGCGATCGGTACAAATCCATGTAGCTGGTGGTGGCCTCGCATCAGGAAGGGCAGGGCATAGTGGCCGCTCAGCGAGGGGCTCACCAACACGGCATTCCGCACCTCCAGGTCCTGCAGCACCTGCTCCAGCAGCCCTGCCCTCCCTGCTTCTGTGCTTGCCTCCTTTGAAGGCGCTGAGTTCCCAAAACCTGAGAACAGCAGCAGGCACCAGCTGAGGGGGGCCGTGAAGGGGCCCCGGACAGCATGGCACATGCTACCCCAAACTTCCTAGAAGCTACTTTTCGTAATGTAATAGGCCTGCTAGAAAAACATATCTTTCATTCATCCTATTAGCAAAACTAAAAAGACTAAACATCCAGTGTTGGGGACGATATGGGGAAATGGGCTCTTTCATACACGATCGATGGGAGAATGAATCTGTACAGCCTTTTTGGAGGGTGAGGTGGTGTTTGTCAAAATTTTAAAATGTGTATCCTTTGACCCATCAATTGTCCTCAATAGCTACCCTAGAAAAGTCAGTGACCGCATGCTCAAAGAAGCATGTCCAAAGATGTTTCAGCTACATTACGTGAACATTTCAACTGACGCTGAAAACTCTAAGTCAACCTACATATCCACCAGTAGAGGAATGGCTGGATAAACCCTGGGCCTCCTTCCTATGGCGCACACTGAGGAGTTAACCAGAGGCTGGTTTGCAGGGACTGGCATGATCCATGCAACATGGTGTCCAGGGAGAAAACCGAGCTGCAGATGGATTAGCTGAACAGGAAGGACAACAGTCATGTTTACAATCCCCACCAGTCGACCTGCATATTGTCTGTATCTCTGTGCATGAAAATGCCCAGAAGAGGGTCTGGCATCCCCCAAACTGCTTAGAGAGGGAGAGAAATGTGGCACCGGTCACTGAGGACTTCACTATTTTTTGAGTTTTTTCTTAATGACAAGAATGATAGCACAAATCATTTGTGTATTTAAAAACACAAAAAGCTACATAGTTTGTAATAAAAATTATAGTGAGCTCCCCGCCCCAGCACGACTGCTTGTGAAGTGAGTCTCGTTTCTATTTGTTCTGTGATATACAACAATCTACACTGTGGTTTTCAAGGTAGAAAACAAAAATAGACTTTTTTGTGGTGCCATCTTATGTTGTGACCTGCCACTGCTTGTTCAGACACTGGAGTCCTGAAGCTCCCAGCCACACTTAGGGCTTCCCTACCCCTCCAGTTCCCCCTTCTGGGGAAAGCTGCCACCTTGTAGCTGCTGCATCCTGCTTCCCTAGACCCTGGGGTGGGGGTGCTCACCTGGAAGGTCAAGGGCCACGGCCCGGTAGCCCCTCTGCGACAGCAGCTGCAGTGTGCCCAGCTGCTCCCACGTGTGAGAGTTAAAGGCCTTTCCATGGAGTAGCACCACCTCCACCCTGCAGGCACACAGGGGAATATGTATCCTGAGGCCTGGGGGAAGTCACCGTTCTTTCTTCCCAGGCTTCTCCCACTGCCCTCCCAGTCCCTGAGCACCCTGAGTCAGACTGCGGTCCCACACAGGGACTCCCCTTGGGCCTAGTCCCTCCACTAGACCCTTAGGTCAGCACCCACCTGCGTGGCTGATGGAGTGGGAGCACCTCGCGGTAAAAGATGGGGGAGTTGCCAGGGGTGAGACCAGCCAGGACTGTGACATTGGGGTTTCCCCAGAGCCAGGAAGTCTGCTCAGGGAGGCCAGGCAGCCCCACATACAGCAGTAGCATGAGCAGCAGACTCAGGCCCAGCAGGGCTACTTGGGACCGGCTCATGGAGGTCTGTACCATGGTCTGGAGGAGAAGAGGAGAGGGAAAACAGGCTGGGGCTGAGCCCCGACAAGGATCCCTGGACCCTACCCCAAAACCCCACCCAGAATCCCCCAGCAGGAAGAGCTGCAGCCCTTGCCCCTTCCCTTGCTCTGGGCAAAGGTCTGAGGGTTCACACCCAACTACTCCATATGCCAGGGTATCAGATACCCTGCAGAGTTAGGAGGTGTCTCTGAGGTATCCCCTGGCACACAGCACACTCTGTGACCATCATCATCACTGTGGCAGCAAAACTACTTCTGATCATCAATGACAGCAGGCCCTGGGCTTGGCCCTTCACATACAAAGGCTCACAGATCCACAAAGAACACTGGGGAGCAGATGTAACTATAGGTCTCTTACAGAGGAGGAAATGGAGGCTCAGAGAAGTAGCAAGTGGGAAAGCTGGGATTTGAACCTGGAGCTGGGCTCCTAAACACCAGGCTACACTCGGCTTGCCAAGGAAGAAAGGGCTGGGAGGCAATGGATGAACTGGAGCCTTGCTGGTGAACAGAGTGGTGAGGACCATCAAGGGGATCCCCTACTCAGGTGTGTTTGGAAATGGTTGTTTTTACCTTGCTACATATAACACTGCTAAAATCGGAATGTGTTCTGTAATCGCATTATGTTTAATGGTCTACCCCCAGTTGTATGAAGAGGCTCACAGAGAAGGTCCGTGATGGAGGGAATGCTGAGACACGAGTGGCGGGCGCAGGGAGGAGCACGGTGTACCTAGAAATGGAAAGGCAGCACGGGGCTGGAGAGATGAACGTCACCTCCCTGTTCTCATTCCTCACACACAAACAGCCTCATGCCAATTGACCTGTTTCACGGACTCTTCCAGTCAGGGGCCTTTGCCAGCCCAGAGGATAGACCTCAGGACCCAGGACCCAAACAGGCCAGGTAGCCCTGGCTTTTGAGATTGCCACTTTCTGACTGTGTGTTTCAGTTTGTCAGTAAAATGGGATGACCTTGTGGCTGCCCTCCCAAGCCTCCTGTGAGATTTAAATAATACAATGGACGTGACATGGGGCTGTTCCTGTCATTTCTTGGGCCTAGGATGAGCATGCCTGCCTCATCCCAGGATTCCAGTAAACACATCTTTATTGAGCACCAACGGGGTGCCAGGCTGATGAGCTAGGAGCTGGGGACCTGTCTTGGGCCCCACCCACCTCTCCAGGATGTTTTGGGGATGTTTCCCCAGCCTCCCACCCCCAGGCTCTGGGATCAGGTGGTGCAGGGTGGACCCCAGTGGCATCCTCTCTGGTGCTTCTGGAAAAGCAGGAGCCTGGAGGAGCAAGAGCCCATTCCTCTTTTCTTCTAGACCACAGCCTCCGACACACACCTCCAACTGGGTGTTACTCCAGGCTCCCACCAGGTGGAGCACCCCCATGGGACGTTTTCTTTTCGTCTGCCGGGGTGCTCCCATGCCTCTCCTGGGATGGAGGGACAGGGCTTCAGCCATTGCCTTGGCAACCTAGGGTGCTGGCAGGACTAGACAATAGTAACAGGACTGCAGCCCGGGGCTCAATCTGCACTCTACAGATGGTGGGGCTGAGGTAAACTGTGCCCACATTAGGTCACTGGAATACACACTGACAATGACACAGGCGTATACACTTGCACACAGGCAACGAGTCTTGCCCCCATTATGCTTTGATTTTGCACAAGCTGTTCCCGGCATATACATGCAGCCTCCTTGCGCATGCACTGGCCCAGGCACAACCAATCCCTTGTAATAATACCCTCTAAATCACACACAGTCAGGCATCAGGAAGGCAGACTGACGGAGACACACGCTTTCAAAACCACACAGGCCAGGTATGTAATCCCATTTCGCCTGTAATCCAGCACTTTGGGAGGCCAAGGCAAGAGGACTGCCTGAGGCCAGGAGTTCAAGACCAGCCTGGGCAACATGGCGAGACCCCGTCTCTTAAAATAAAAAGCAAAACCCACGACCACATACAGATCCTCAGAAATACTCAAGCACACAGTCATACGACCCTAAAACTACACACACAAGCCAGACACATGCACAGGCAGACAGACACACACACGAACCCTCAGAAACGCACACACAGGCATACACACAGGTAGACACATACCCTCAAAGTCACATGCACACAGAAATACAGTAGACAAACGCGGACACAAGCAGGCTGACAGACTGAGGAACACACCCCCAGTATAAGTGCGCAGAAACACACGCTGACAGACCCACACAGGCGGACACACATATACACCCAGACCTCCAAGAACACACGCCAACACGCGCACACGCACTCTCGCTGCCCCAGCGCCAGCGGCTCCCGCAGGACTCTGCCTCGGGCACGGGGGCAAGGGGCGGGGCAAAGATGGCCGGCCCGGGCAGCCTGCCGACCTCCCTCCCCGGGGACACTCACCGGGCCAACCGGGCGGGCCCCGCCCACGCGGAACCAGCAGCCGAACAGCGCCCCGACCATGGCGGGGCCTTCGCCGCCCGGGCGGCTGTTCTCGCAGTCGGCTGCGGGAAGTACGGCCACGGAGGCGCGCATGCGCAGTCCGCAGCCGCGGGCCTGGCGCCCGGTAACAGAGCAGGCCCCTTGGAAGGGGTACTGGGGGTGGCGCCCCGGAGCTCTGAGGCCCGTCCAGGTTTTCCAGGTTGCTTTTGGCCTGAGGAGTAGTGGAGAGCCACCTGGCTTCTTCCCCCCAAAACATCTTCATCCTCGCTCAGCTCTCCAGTCTGTACAGGAGTTAAGATCCACAGCATAGGGCTGTCATAAGTACATACTTAAGGACCGGTCAAGCCGAGAACAGTGTGCAGCAGAGGCCTCCTTGTGTGAATGCCAGATATTGTTATGCAGCAGCTCCAGTTCTCAGCCCAACCACTTCCCTGCACACACACACACACGGTGGTGGGGGGACCTTCACGTGTACTCATGGTACCTATCCTGGTTGGCGGTATGTGACCAACGTCTGGTCTGTCCCAGGCTCAGGGCTCCGCGCGGCGACCAGCCCAGCAGAGGAAGGCTGTACGGAGCACGTCGGGTTTACTTCTTTTTGGTATCCTGCAGAGGTTGGCAACACCCAACTCACCCTACAGGCAGGAAACAGACTCGGAGGCATTGGGAAAACGATCAAGGGCACCTGGCTGGATACTGGCGGAGCCTCGCATTCAAACCTGTCGGACCTCAGCTCTGTGCCAGGCGCACAGCTCTTTGCCAGCCAGACAACTCTGGCCCTGGGCAGTTCCGGCTGGGCATGAGGGGGATGGGGGCAAGAAGGGAGCAGCAGGGATGCGATCCCGAAGGAGCCCTCCTCCTCAAGCTGCGCCATGTCCATGTGGACCAGGCCGTTGGCGGTTTCGGGGCCGCGCGGGGATCGTGGGGCCGAGGGCTTGAGGAAACTGAGGCCACGGTTAGAACAAGGAATGGGTTCAACGGTGTCGAGGGAGTCAGCGGCAGCTTGTGGCCGCAAGAGGGCGCCCGGGAGCACGGCCCAGCCCCCGCCCCCAGGCTGGCTTCTTCCCTGCTTCCCTGCCCCTGCCCCGGCCCATCCGCCGCCAGCACTCGCCTGCGTCCGGTCTGCGTGAGTCCACGCAACTCCCCAGGTACCCGCCCTGCGCTCTCGACCCTCTCTTCCTCTCTCCAGTCAAAATCCACCCGCACCTACCCCAAATCTTCCCATCTCGGGTCCCCAGGTCCCCTCCTCGGGGCTGCCCCCACCCCCTCCCTGTGCCCTCTTCCAGACCTGGCGAGCCCGAACCGTGGTCGGCGGAGGGGACAGAGCGAGCCGTGGCGGCGCCCGTGACTGCGGCGTCAACGTGCTGGGCCCCGGGCGGGCAGCGCGCTGAGCACCCCGCGTCCCTGGCCGGCCAGAACTCCAAAGCCCTTTCTCACTGGGCGCTTTGGTTTCCGCCTCTGGAAGATGGGCTTTTTACCCCAGCTTGGGCTCCCTCCAGCCTAAGGCGCCAACGCACAACAGTTCGTTGGGGAGGATGAGGTCGATAAGCGAAACAGTCAGGTACTTACCGTTGATTGAGCACTTACTATGTGCTAGACACGCACATGCGTGGCCTCATGTAATCCTATCAGCCGCCTGGAGCTAGTACTGTTGAATTATCCCCATTTGTAGAGAAGGATAGTAACGATGAGAGCAGTAATCGAGCAGTAATCGTAATGGGAGCCCCATGTTTTGAGTTCTTACAATCAGCAGGCACCCTCACTGTTATTTTTTTTAAAACTCTTAATTAAATTCCTAATCCTTGAGGCAGGCTTTATTCCCATATTGCAGATGAATGAGCTGAGGCCCAAGGTTACACAATTGAGTGGCAGAGGCAGAAATAACACCTATGTCTTCCTGACCCCAAAGCGTGTTCCTAGAGTTCTGGAGGCCTCCTGGGGGCCTCCTTGCTGCTCCCCACTTCCCTCTCTGTGGCAGCCTCCCTGCTCCACCTGGGCAACGTGTTCTGTGGCCCCTCATCAGCCTGGCTTTGAACCACAGGCACTTGACCAGCACGGCAGCAGCAGGTATGGCGGCAGCAGGCATGGCGGCGGGCGTGGAGCAGAGCGAGGGCACCTTCCAGGTGCAGGGCCAGAGCCTCTTCTTCCGAGAGGCACGGCCAGGCAGTGGGCAGGTCCGCTTCTCTGTGCTGCTGTTGCATGGTATCCGCTTCTCCTCCGAGACTTGGCAGAACCTGGGTACGCTGCACAGGCTGGCCCAGGCTGGCTACCGGGCTGTGGCCATTGACCTACCAGGTACTTCAAGGGCAGGCTTCTGGGCAGGGGTTGGGGAGGCCTCATTGGGGACCCAGGGCTGGGGCCCTGGGAGGACTGGGAGGACATAGCCAGTCTGGGCCCGGAGTTTGACAGAGTTCAGTACACACTGCAAGGACCTTTGAGCTTGTCCAGTCTTGACCCAGATATGGTCTGGACACTGCCCAGCTGCTCCTCACTGTTACCAGGCAGTGTCTCAGTGTCGCCGAGCCTGTGCCCTCAACTGCAATGGGAGATAACTGCACTCATGTTTGGGGCAGGCTCTAGTGAGAATGGAATGAGATTATCCACATGAGTGTGAGTAAGTAGCTAGTACCTGATACATAGTAATTGGTGTTCAGCCAGTTGGAAGTAAAATACTTTCACTGAACTATAACCACAGGCTGTTGGAGCCCTGAGTAGTGAGACCTGAGTCTCCTGGGGGCTTGAGGGGCAGGGCCTGGTGGGTGGCCAGGCCCCCAGTTGTGAATATGCAAAGCCCTGAGCTGGGTTCTGGGGGATGTGGGGGCAGTCCCCCAGACTGCCTGTTATCATCTGGACCACCGGGTCCCAGCCCTTGGTGGAAGGGGCAGCATGGTTGATCTGAGCCTCTCACCAGCCAGGGCTGGTGTGGTTTCAGGGCCCAAGGGCAGGCCTCCAGCCTGGACAGGACTGGTTACAACAGTGGGTTGGGCTGAGCTTTAGGGCAAAGGTCTTGAGCTAATCTTGTTGGTGAAGGTGGGGATGGACTGACTGAAGTGGGACGGGGGTGGGGTGGGGGCAGGTATGAGTGCAGAACCAGCCCCTCAGCCACTGTCCTTGAGGAACCCACCCTGTGCCAATCCAGGGCCAGGTGCCTTTTAAACAGTTAATTTTCACAACAGTCTTAACTGGCAGATACTTTTGTTATCCCCTTTTAACAGATGGGGAAACTGAGTAGCTGAGAGAGAGCTGAGAAGGACTTACCCAAGGTCACACAGACAGTAAATGGAGAATTGGATCCAACCCCATTGGATGTCAGTCTGATTCTTTCCAGGACACTGTTACTCCTGGGAGAGATGGGCACAAACATGAAGAGAAATGCCTCATGCTTGCCACAATGTGATAGATCGAGGCTGCTGTCGGAATAAACTTGGGCACACTGGGTGTTATCAGGAACCTGGGCACAGAGAGATTGACCCAGGAAGGCTTCCTGGAGAAAGGGATCTTCTCTCCCTTGTTTTCCCATTCACTGCCCTGGTCTTGTCTCTCCCATACCTGAATCCCTGCAGGTCTGGGGCGCTCGAAGGAAGCAACAGCCCCTGCCCCTATGAAGGAGCTGGTCCCTGGCAGCTTCCTGGCAGCTGTGGTAGATGCCTTGGAGCTGGGCCCCCCGGTTGTGATCAGTCCATCGTTGAGTGGCATGTACTCCCTGCCCTTCCTCACCGCCCCTGGCTCCCAGCTCCGGGGCTATGTGCCAGTGGCCCCCATCTGCACTGACAAAATCAATGCTGCTGACTATGCCAGTGTGAAGGTACTCCTGTGTGGGAAGCTGAGATGCCCCTGCCGGGAGCAAGGAAGGATCTATCCCTGAGCCTTTCTCATATGGGGGCTAGGTAACCGAGGGTGTCTTCTGGGAGGAGATCCTCACCAAGCTCCACCCTTTTTGTTTACTTAGCAGATTACTGTGCCAAACCCTGTGCTAAACTGTGTGCTGGGGCAGACACCAATCCATGCACCCACCCATTGGGCCAGCTTGTCTCTCCTCATTTGGGGTGGCCCAAGGGAGAGACTGAATTGGTGGGGAGAGCTGGAGCTAGCCTCCAGGAGGATGGGGCTGGTGTGGCGGGTTCCTGTTGACTCTGCCCTCCTTTCCTTTCTCTCAGACTCCAGCTCTGATTGTATATGGAGACCAGGATCCCATGGGTCAAACCACCTTTGAGCACCTGAAGCAGCTGCCAAACCACCGGGTGCTGATCATGAAGGGGGCGGGGCACCCCTGTTACCTGGACAAACCTGAGGAGTGGCATACAGGGCTGCTGGACTTCCTGCAGGGGCTAGCTTGAGGCCCTGCACTGCTGATGTGGGTGGGCTGCCTGCCTACCGTGAGGTCTCTCTCTCTCTCTCCCCTCCATGGGCTCTGGCTCGTCATGCACATGCAACAGGTGTGTCTGTCTATATATCTTTCTAGGTTCTTTTGGGGTCTGTCTTTTCTGCTTCTTTCTCTTGCAGTGATGGACTGATGAGCTAAAATCAAGAGGAAAAACTCAGGAATCAAGGGATGCATAATCTGGTGGAGGGTAATCCTTCTGTGCTAGGCTTGCTGGGCTTTCACTCCTTCCTCTGCTCTGCCCAGCCTTCCCCTCCCACCCTGTCCTCCTCCTTCAACTGTCCTGCAGGTCAGTCACCTCCCCAGCACACACACTTCCCCACCTCTTTTAGGCCACAGATACATACATGCCCACATGCATGCTTACACTTTTAGAAGCTATCTATGTTCCCAAATATGGCCCTTCACTTGAGAGCAACTGCATAGGTGTATGTAACTCCGGACTGATATGCACATTCTCATGTGCAGTTGTGCATCGCATGCACATACACACACACCTCCACACAAACACTTGCACAGATACACGTGCTCTTCTAACCATGTGGCACCTCACTGGCTGGGAAAGTGGGGACCCCATGGGCCAGCCCTTGCAGGAGACCCTTTTGCCAGGCTTAGGGTGTGGCTAGCCCTGGAATCTACTCAGGTTGCAGCTGGCCCCAGTCCAGAAATGCCCCACAGAAGGGAAGGGCCACCTCTCTGCCTCTCAGTTCTTGCTTTTCTCCTTGCTTCTGGATGTTCCACACCTTGCTGAGTTATCAAGCCTGGATCATATCAGGCAAGCTTGTTTTCTGTTGTGAGGTTTGGGGGTGGGGGGTGGGGAGACAGAGAGTGGAGGTCAGTGAAATAAAGTGATGCAATTAGACCCCACAGGCTCTTGCTGTTTCCAGAGCGCCGCCCCTCCCCCACCTCTTGGGACCAACACTGTGGCCCCCTCCCCCACCCTGGTGGGACCAGATGGTCCCCCTGCCCTTTGTCCACAGGCCAGATGGAAAGGAAGGGAGATTGGATTCCCCTCCCCACCCACACACACCCAGGTGCCAAGACACTCAGTTGTTGGGGGAGGTGGAGGTCAGTGAGACCAGGCTGAGCCGATTACAGACGGGGGGAATATTTGCTCCCCAGGGGGGCCCCCCGGGGGACTTGGGAACAGCTCGGCTCCTCCCCCCACTCATCGCTTCCCTAGTAAGGGACTCTAGGGTGCCCCTCCCTTGCAACCCTAACCCAAAAAGGAATTCTGGAGGTAGATTTGGGGGAATCGCGGGGCGGGGTGCACCAGGACCCCATCCTCCAGC